GAGATCGCGCCATTGCACTCCAGCCTAGGTAACATGAGTGAAACTCCGTCTCAAAAAAAAAAAAAAAAATTGGCCTTTGTTCAGACAGCTCTGACACAGCTCGCACCTAGCCAATAGCATTTGTAAGTTTGCATCAGTTTTAAGATGCATTCTTATTTCAGAGAAATTAAAATGTTTTTAAAAAAGGTGTTTTACTTTTTTTTTTTTTTTTAATTTAAATTTTGTTTTTAATTGAGACAAGGTCTTGCTCTGTTGCTGAGGCTAGAGTGCAGTGGTACAATTACGGCTCATTGTAGTCTCAATCTCCTGGGCTTATGTAATCCTCCCACCTTAGCCTTCCTAGTAGTTGGGACTACAGGCTAGCACCATCATGCCTAGCTAATTTTTGCATGTTTTTGTGGGGATGGGGTTTTGCCATGTTGCCCAGGCTGGTCTTGAACTCCCAGGCTCAAGTGGTCTACCCACCTTGGCCTCCCAAAGTGCTGGGATTATAGGTGTGAGCCACCATGCTCCACTGTTACATTTTCTTTGAATCATCAGTTGTTTTAAGAGGTGAGGAGGGTACTAAGTTTACCTTAGCTTTAGTCTGGTGGGGGAGTAGGGAATCGGGGTCAAGCGAGAACATGATAATCTCCCTTGGAGTCTGCTTGGTTGACAAAGGGCCAGAAGTGCCTTTCAGAAGGAAGGCTGATTATTAAGGTTTACACACTTTTTACTTTGCTGTTTCTAAGCTTTAGACATATTTGTAGTTTGTTATTTTTTAGATCATTTAAACAGAGGCAACAGGGTGATAAAGGGAGAGAATCCTTAAGTTGGTCCCCAGTGGCCTGTGTGATGTATCTTAGAGATATTTTACAGTATACAGTTGTCCCTCAGAATCCATGGGGATTGGTTCCAGGATGTCCTTCAGATGTTAAAATCCTTGGATGCTCAAGTCCCTAATGTAAAATGGCATAGTATTTGTGTATAACCTACGTACATTCTTCTATATACATTAACACCTCTAGATTACTTATAACGCTAAATACAACATAAATTCTGTGTAAATAGTTGTTATGCTGTATTGTTTAGGGAAAAATGACAAGGAAAGGAAGTGTCTATACATGTTGGTACAGATGCAATTAAATTTTTTCCATCTGAGGTTGATTGGATCTGTGGACACAGAACCTGTGCATATGGAGGGCCAGTTATATTTACAATGTTTATAGTATTTTCCATCCTTTAAGATCTCATATCTTAAGATTACTTTCAAAATATCACTTGTGACCAGCCTGTCCAACATGGTGAAACCCCATCTCTACTAAAAATTCAAAAACCAGCAGGGTGTCGTGGCGTGCACCTGTAATCCCAGCTACTCAGGAGGCTGAGGCAGGAGAGTCTCTTGAACCTGGGAAGCAGAGGATGCAGTGAGCTGAGATCATACCATTACGCTCCAGCCTGGGTGACAGAGCAAGGCTCTGTCTCAAAAAAAAAAGAGAAAGAAATGTCGCTTGTGAAACTCATTAGCTTATTATTATTATTATTATTATTGTTTTATTTATTTATTTTTTTAGGAGATGGAGTCACTATGTTGCCCAAGCTGGTCTTGAACTCCTGGGCTCAAGTCATCTTCCTGCCTTGGCCTCCCAAATTATAAATTTATTTTTATTTATTTTTTAGAGACGTGGTCTCACTCCACCACCTAGGCTGGAGTGTAGTGTCAGGACCACAACTCACTGCAGCCCCAAACTCCTGGGCTCAAGCTATCCCTCTGCCTCATCCTCCCAGGCAGCTAAGACTCCTGGCGTGTACCGCTATGCCCAGTTATCTTTAAATTTTAGAGACTACGCTTATATTTTTGAGCCCAGGAGTTAGAGACCACATCTCCAACTCTTGGGCTCAAATGATTCTTCCATCTCTGCTTCCCAAAGCACTAGAATTACAGGTATGAGCCACCTTGCCTGGTGGTTCCTGGCCTTCTCCAATATGCTTTTTAAAAGAAGCACTAGGCTCAAGAGACTGAGACAGGAAGATCACTTGAGGTCAGGCTGAGTTCGAGACCAGCCTAAGCAACATTGAGACACACTATCTGTTAAAAAAAAATCATCACTAAGATGTGAAGTGCTGATAAGCAGAAGGTGAGGACAATGGTGGCAGAAGCTATGAGATAGGTAAGGAGGGTCCTTATTTTTATAATCTTTGATGTACCTTATGGTGATAGGGGAACCATTACTAGGAAGTAATAGAAACTAACATGTCGGTGGCTCACGACTGTAATTCCAGCACTTTGGGAGGCTGAGGTGGGCAGATCATGAGGTCAAGAGATAGAGACCATCCTGGCCAACATGGTGAAACCCCGTCTCTACTAAAAATACAAAAAACAGCCGGGCATGGTGGCACGTGTCTGTGGTCCCAGCTACTCGGGAGGCTGAGGCGGAAGTTGCAGTGAGCTGAGTTTGCACCACTGCACTCCAGCCTGGCGACAGAGCTAGACTCCGTCTCAAAAAAAAAAAAAAAGAAACTAACATGTAAATATATTACCCTTTATTCACTCCCCATTGCTTCAGGGTTAAAGGGAGAGAATCCTTAACTTGGTCTCCAGTTCCCTGCCTAGTCTGCTCCTATCTGTCTCACTAGCTTTGTCTTATCCTATGCCTTCTTCCCCCAGGTTAATATAGAAAGGTGGGGAGTCAGAATATAAGGGTTGATTTATTCATTTCACTTTGCCTGCTATATTATTGTTTTAAATAGGAGTTTTAAAATCTCATTCTTGTGACTCTGAGAGGAGCTTAAATAAAATACTCTCTTGTTGTGCTTTCTGGTCTGGAATTCTGCATTCAATACCTGATTGTATGGAGATATTTTTCTCTTTAACAGGTTTCCCCGCATATAAAAATCGATTGTAAAAATACTGAAAAGAATGGCAGCAGAAACGCAGACACTGAACTTTGGACCTGAATGGTGAGTTTTCAAAATCTCATCCTCTTTGATATTGGATGACTAATGCAGTAGTAAAATATTTGACAGGTGCTAGGTGGTTTATAAGTATGCATGTTTTTGAGACTTCTGCTTTATGTGCCTAGCTGAAAACAATGTGTGCTAGTTCAGCAATAAATTATATTTGGTAAATGAGTGCATTCTATACTTAATTAAAATTTTTTTTCTTGGTCTGGTTACGTATGTAATGATGGTAGGAGTCCCACCACCCTAGAAAATTATTTTCTTTTTATTTGAGTCATTGTCTAGGTGCATATACAATTTTATATAATTATAACATTTTTATATCTGTATGTTTTCTGCCACATTGTTTTGTCATGGCTATTCATAGACTTCGTTTGAGAGATAGTTTTCATTGAAGTATTATTTTAAAGATGGACTAGGCAGGTAGTTCAGTATTATACTGGCTGTTAGCAGTAGCCTGTCTAGGATTGAGTTAGCATTGGCCATAATAACGATTAATTGACCTTTGAGTCTCTTACAGATATGTTTGGACCCCGAATATGGAATTCTCATGGAATTTTGAGATCCATCACATTGTAGTGTGACTTCCCCCCTCCCCTCCTTCCTTTTTCCCCAAAGTTGGTGATTGAAGATCCTCTCTTCAGTGGCATGAATAATAATAATAATAATAATTACTTTTCTGTTCAAACCTCGGGCAACCCCTTTGGTAATATCAGAAACAGTATCTAAAATAGATAAATTGGATTTGTGTCTTAAACATTCTTGGTTGTTGGGGTAGGGGTGATTCAATAAATGATGCAGACTTCCTGTAGTAACTCTCTATTTGAGGAGTCTTTAACTTACCCTATTAGAAACATTTCTTTTTATAGTTTTCTTAACCTTTATAACCAGTGTTTGGAGACAGAGGAGAAATCACTATTTGAAGTTCTGAGAACTGATGCAACTCTTATATTTTGAGAGTTTATTTAGAACATGTTGACCTAAGTAATGCTGTACTTACTTTAGTTATTCCTTTATATTTTTAAAAGAATTTTCTTATCAAATTAGTATATTTCTAAAAAATTAGAAATTACTAGTAAGCCAGAAAATATCGTCATAATTTCAACACCCATGGTACACACTGTAAATATCTTGGTGTATCTTTCCAGGTGGTTTTCTGTATGCTTATTTGTATATATGTACATTTGTTTTTACAAAAATGAGATCATACTGTACCTTCAGTTTTGTAGCCTGCTTAAAGAAACAACCAAATCAGAAACATCTTTTTTTAATCAATAAATGTTTTCTGTTCTATTAAATGGTTGCATTGTATGGATGTACCATCATTTATTCAACTAGTCCTCTACGTGTGGCATATAGAAGCTGTTCTCAGTTTTTCATTATAAAAATATTTTAATGAAAATTCTTATAGTGTAAATCTTTACACCTTAATAATTTCTTTTATCAGGTGGTTTTAAATTCATATAGGTTACTTTGTAAACCATTTTGTGTACAACTCATCTGCCTTTATCTAGAATTTGTAACTGCTTCTTTTTTATATTTACATACCGTTGTCTGTTTCTTCATAAAAACATGGTTAAAATTGTCAGCTAATTTAAGGAAGTTGTTTTTTTCCAGCATCCTGCTATTTATAGGTAACAGAAAGGGAACACCAGGAATTTAGACATAACAAAAGGAAAACAAAAACTGATAATGTTTTAGAGTCAATACACACTTAACTTGATGCCCTATATCATGGGTTGGCAAACTATGGCCTGTGGGGCCATAAAGTTTTTGTAAGTAAAGTTTCATTGAAAGACAGAGACATTTATTTGTTTCCATATGTTCGGACTGCCTCCATGCTACAGTGACAGGGTTGACAGAGGCCATTTGGTTCACAGAGCTTAAATATTAATTCTCTGGCCCTTTACAGAAACAGTTTGCTGGCTCCTGCCCTACACTATGAGTTCTCAAGGTCGTCTCATTCTTTTTTTTTTTTTTTTTTTTTTTGAGACGGAGTCTAACACTGTCACCCAGGCTGGAATGCAATGGTGCAATCTCAGCTCACTGCAACCTCTGCCTCCTGGGTTCACGTGATTCTCCTGCCTCAAACACCCAAGTAACTGGAATTACAGGCACACGCCGCCACACCTGGCTAATTTTTTGTATTTTTAGTTAAGACGGGGTTTCATTATGTTGGTCAAACTGGTCTTGAACTCCTAACCTCGTGATCCGCCCGCCTCAGCCTCCCAAAGTGCTGGGATTACAGGTGTGAGCCACCACACCCAGCTAAGGTCATCTCATTCTAAATAACATGTAGTATTGAGCATCTTCCAATAGTATCTTACACATCCTCCTCTTTATTGATACTCTGAAGTTTTATTTGATGGTATTTCACTTGATCGGTTCAGTGTTTTGTACAAAATTTGAATTAAGGTAGCTTTAAACAGAGGGCAGTCACCATTTCCATCCTTAAAGAGCAGCCTCACCTAATTGTACATCTGTTACCTTGCAGACATTATAGCTTAGGAGCATTCCCTTAGTCATCTGAAATGCTGATGAACTGAGGAATGGAGGTGTAAGTAGGTATAATGCCCTATTTGTATCATCTGTCAAAATTCCTTCTGGCAAAGGGAAATTATGCAGCCCTTAAGTAACCCAGGTAATCTTGAGCTGGAAGGTTGCAGCATGAGTAGAGAGTACTACCTTATTTTTCTTCATGTAACATTACATTTTTTATGAAACTTGAGGTAAAGAGCTGTGCCAGGGTACTTGAGAATCAAGATTTAGATAGATGACATTGAACCAGTGTGCAGTTAACTCTAAATGAGACAGAAACACTTAGTGACACTGTGTTTACTACGGTCATCATTTTTGTGAATAATGTAAAACGTAATGTTCAATAAAGGATGCTTAAAATGAAGCAATTTATTTGTATCTGGGGACAGTTGTGAAGATGGGAGAGCATTGAAAATTTTGGTAGGGACAGACCATGAATGGCTGTAAGCTTTAACTTTTTTTTCTTTCCTCTCTTGGATGGAGTTAGTTTCACTGTTGCCCAAGCTGGATTGCAGTGGTGCGATTTCAGCTCACTGCAACTTCTACCTCCTGGGTTCAAGGCATTCTCCTGCCTCTGCCTCCTGAGTAGCTGGGATTACAGTCACCCACCGCCATGCCTGGCTAATTTTTGTATTTTTAGTAGAGACGGGGTTTTACCATGTTGGCAAGGCTGGTCTTGAACTCCTGACCTCAGGTGATCCCCCTGCCTCGGCCTCCCAAAGTGCTGGGAGTGCAGGCATGAGCCACCTCACCCTGCCAAGGCTTGAACTTTTTAAGGTCCGTGGAATCATTAGGTCTTAGATTATTTTTGTACTTATAATAAAAAAGTATATTGCATTATCGTCAAAACAGTTTAAAAGGTTATAATACATTTAATGCCAAGTATATCTTTTCTAGATATAAAGCAAGTGTCTTTCTTTGCTTTCATTTCCTCAAATGCTACCACCTTAGACCTTTACTGACAATATATAACTCTCCACCCCTTATTCCCTATCTCTCTTCCTTGCTTAATTTTTCTTCATGTTTTGTATCAAAATGTAACATGCCAAATATTTTACACATTTATTTTATTATTTATATGCTATCTTCCAACCCCTACTAGACTGTGAGCTCCATTGAGAGCAGATACTTTGATGTAGATCTTTGTACAGTTTACTGCTGTATGTCCAGTGCCTGGCACATAGGTACTGAATAAATATTTATTAAATGGATGAGTGAATTGTTGGAAAGTAGTTTTTAATGTTTTGCTATTGTAAATGATACGTATATATACCCTGGAACAGTTTTGTTTCTATCACTGATTATTTTGATTAATTTCTTAAAAGTGAAGTTATTAAATCAAAAGTTTTACTTTTAAGTCTTTGGATGATACGTGGACAGTTTGGCCACCTGAAGAATTGTGTGAATTTAATTCTCATCTCCTGTGTGTTTATGCTTGACAAAACACTAAGCACTGTCTTCATAATATTTTTTTGGTGCGAAATTCCTTAGATTTAGGTCTTTTAGAGTTTTTTATTGTTAGTCTCAGTAACAAAATAAACCCACTCAGTCCAGAAAATCTGGAGGAAACGGTACAAGAGGAAAAAGAAAAGGGTTTGGCGTGGGCCGGGCACGGTGGCTCACGCTTGTAATCCCAGCACTTTGGGAGGCTGAGGCAGGTGAATCACCTGAGGTCAGGAATTCGAGACCAGCCTTGCCAACATGGTGAAACTCTGTCTCTACTAAAAATACAAAGTTAGCTGGGCGTGGTGGCACATTCCTGTAATCCCCGCTACTTACAAGGCTGAGATAGGAGAATCGTTTGAACCAGGGAGGCGGAGGTTGCAGTGAGCCAAAATTGCACCATTGAACTCCAGCCTGGGCAACAAGACTGAGCAACAAGAGCGAAACTCCTCAGAAAAAGAAAGAAAGAATGAAAAGGATTAGGCATGGTGGCTGGCCCAAGGCTCCCAGCACTTTGGGAGGCAGGGGCATGAGGATCATTTGAGCTCGGGAGTTCGAGACAAGCCTAGGCAACACAGTGAGACCCCGTTCTCTACAAAAATAAAAACAATTAGTCGGGCATAGTGGTGCTCATGTTTGGTGTCAGCTACTTGGGAGGCTGAAGTGAGAGAATTGCTTGAGCCTGGGAGGGTGAGGCTGCCGTGGTTGTGCCAGTGCACTCCAGCCTGGGTGATAGAGCAAGACCCTGTCTCCAAAAAAGGAAAAGAAAACAAAAAGACCACCAAAGGGAAAGATCTAAGATACCCTAATCCTACCACCTGCAGTAGCTTTTATTGGTTTCTATCCTATTTGCAAATGTATCTTCAAGACATTTAAAAAACAAATATTTTGGCCGAGTGTGATGGCACATGCCTGTAATCCCAGCACTTTGGGAGGAAGAGGCGGGTGGATCACTTGAGGTCAGGAGTTTGAGATCAGCCTGGCCAACGTGGTAAAAACCCATCTCTACTAAAAAAAAA